AAATCATTGAACTATCTGAATATCGAACCATCGATTTGAACAACGAATTACTTTGAATTATCACAATGGCTTTTCATTTAAAATGTATTGTACATTGTTTATTTTTAGCTATGAAACCACCTTACAAATAATTGTTCGTTTATTGAACTGTAGAAAAAATTATATTTATTGATTATCGATTTATTTATTTATTTATTTATTTATTTGTATACTTGATCCAGCTAGCAGTGATGGTTGGTTATTTACTGGGCTATCTAGCTTACCCTTATTTTTGTTTTCAGATTCTGAAGAGTAGAGCTGCGCGGGATTTTTACATGTGGGAGTGCCGAGAGTAGAACTATGATTTAAGTATTTGGATTATTGTTTTGTTAATGGATTTTATTAGTGAAATTGGTGGATAATTTCATATGATAAGAATAATCAGCTTTTATGGATTTTAACATTATGATAATTAAGGATTTAATTGGAGTATTTTACATTGTTGGTTATGTGTTGGATTTTTAGCCTTGCATGCTCACTTAAATAAGTGTGCGGCATTATCACGGAGCTTGGGACGTGACAATTTTGTGGTGTCAGAGCCAGGTTGTAATTTTAAAGGCTAGTATAGAATAGTGGTGAGATTGGGTAGATATAGGATTGGGAACGCTTATAATTTGATATAATGTTAACTTTATTTACATGTTATAGGGACTTGAGAATTGATGAGAATAGAATAAGATGAGGTTTTATTATTGATGCATATAGGTTGCAATGGAACATGAGGAGACATTGGCAAATATGGCTAGGAATACACGCTAGGGTCAAACAAATCGACGGACTGGTAATAACAATCGGCGAGGGAATGTGGCTAATAATAGTAGTGGTTCTCAAGCAGTCGGAGGAAATCAGGGGCAAGAGTTGGGAAGCTGCAATCCCCAATCCAATTGGAATGGTTCAAGTGCTTCAGACTTTGGCCGGGGTGGTGCAACAGCAAACCACCATAGGAAATAACTTGACTAGACTTATGGAGCAACAACAACGGATGCAGCCAGGTGTTGGGCCACAACCGAGGCCACGTTGTAACATTACTGAGTTTAAGAAGATAGCCTTGGCATTTGATGGAGCCACAGACACTTTGGATGCTGAAAAATGGTTGACATAAATGGAAAAGTTGTTTCCCATTTTTGAGTGTACGGATGATCAGAAGGTGACGTATGCTACGTTTATGCTACAAGGAATAGCTAATGATTGGTGGCAGATGGAGAAATGCATACATGAGCATGATGCCAACCCCTATACATGGGACAGGTTTAAGAATGCATTCAATGAGAAATACTTCCCTAGGAGCGTTCGTCTACAAAAACAGAGGGAATTTTCGAAGTTAGAGCAAGGGAATAAGACGGTTGCAGAATATGAAGCCGAGTTTACGAAGTTGTCTAAATTTGCATCAGCATTTGTAGCAGACGAGGATAGTAGAGCATGAAAGTTTGAAGGTGGGCTAAGAACGAGCATTATGCAACAGGTGGTTCCTTTCGAGTTACCTACTTTTGGAGCAATGTTGAATAAGGCTTTGTTGGTTGAGAGTGGCCTCACTAGAGCCCAAGAAGAGAAAGAAAAGAATTATAAGAAGAGACCTAGTTCTTCCAACTTCCAAACTAACAGTTCGAAGGGCAATGCTAAGAGACAAAACACTTCTTCGGTTGGGAGTTGGGGAAGTCGAACTGTGGGTAGTAGTGTTGACAAGCAGAACAATCGGGTATAGTGCACTAGGTGTGATGGATTCCATCGGGATAGTGAGTGTCGTTGGAATACTGGGGCTTATTTCTCTTGCGGGCAACAGGGGCACAGGATAGCTAATTGCCCTAACCGGAAGGGGCATGAGATTGAACAGAAAACATGGACAAATAAAGGAGCATCAACAGACAAAGGGTCTTTAGGAAGTCAAAAGAAAAATGGAGGTCATAAGCCAAAGACTCAAGGTCGAGTGTACGCACTCACGCATCAAGATGTTCAGACTTCCAACACGGTGGTGTCAGGTACTGTTTTAGTGTCTTCTGTTTATGCACATGCGTTATTTGATTCTGGAGCTACAAATTCATTTGTGTCTATGGGATTTGTTGAGAAACATGGATGGAAATGTGTCTCTAGAGGGATCGACTTATGTGTTGAAACCCCGATAGGAGGTGTTATGGTTGCTGACTTAATTTGCAAATCTCGTGTGGTTAGTATAGATGGCAGGAAATTGCTTGTAGACTTAACTGTTTTAGATATGCGGGACTTTGACATAATTCTTGGAATGGATTGGTTGGCAACCAATTATGTTTCTGTTGATTGTCGAGGCAAAAAGGGTAGTATTTCAGATTCCTAACCAACCAGAATTTTGTTTTGTGGGTAGTGGAGTTAACACTCCTCTTCTGGTAATCTCAGCTTTGCAAGCTAGACGGTTGTTAAGGAATGGTTGCGAGGGCTATTTAGCTTCTGTGAGAGATACACGTGAGACTGAATTAAAGTTAGAGGATATTCTAGTTGTGAAGGAATTTCACGATGTTTTTCCTGAAGAGTTACCGGGGTTGCCACTAGATAGAGAGATTGAGTTTGCCATTGAATTGATACCTGGCACGGGTCCTATCTCCAAGGCTCCGTATCGGATGGCCCCAGCAGAGTTGAAAGAGTTGAAGGAACAGTTACAAGAGTTACTAGATAAGGGCTTTATTAGGCCTAGTGTTTCTCCTTGGGGTGCACCCGTTTTATTTGTGAAAAGAAGGATGGTAGTTTTCGCCTTTACATTGATTATTGAGAGTTGAACAAGGTGACAATCCGAAATAAATATCCTTTGCCTAGGATAGATGACCTATTTGATCAGTTGCAAGGAGCACAAGTCTTTTCTAAGATTGACCATCGTTCTGGCTATTACCAGTTGAAGGTTAAGGCAGAAGATATACCTAAGACAACCTTTCGAACTAGATATGGGCATTATGAATTTTTAGTGATGTCGTTTGGGTTGACCAATGCGCCTGCAGCTTTTATGGATTTAATGAACAGGGTATTTAAACCCTTCTTAGATCAGTTTGTGGTAGTTTTTATTGATGACATTCTTGTGTACTCGACGAGTAAAGAGCAGCACGAAGAATATATGAGAATAGTGTTGCAGATATTAAGGGAGAAGAAGTTATTTGCTAAATTAAAGAAGTGTGAATTTTGGTTGGAGAGTGTATCATTTTTGGGTCATGTGATATCTAAAGATGGGGTGTCTGTTGATCCCAAGAAAGTGGAGGCGGTGGTGGAGTGGAATTGGCCTACTAGTGTCACTAAAATTCGTAGCTTCTTGGGTTTAGCAAGATATTATAGAAGGTTTGTTGAGGGATTTTTCCGAATTTCTATGCCTTTGACTCGTTTAACACAAAAAGGGTTTAAATTTGAGTGGTCGGATAATTGTGAGAAGAGTTTCCAAGATCTAAAGAGTCGATTGGTGTGTGCTCCAGTACTTATAGTTCCGTCTGGAGATGAAGGTTTTACCATTTATAGTGATGTATCAAAGATGGGCTTAGGCTATGTCCTGATGCAGAATGATAAGGTTGTGGCATATGCATCTAGGCAGTTGAAGCCATATGAGCAGAATTATCCTACGCATGATTTGGAGTTGGCTGCTGTGGTGTTTGCATTAAAAATCTGGAGGCACTACCTGTATTGGGTGAATGTGAGATATTCACTGATCATAAAAGTTTGAAGTATATTTTCACTCAAAAAGAATTGAATATGAGGCAAAGGTGATGGTTGGAGCTATTAAAGGATTATGATTTGACTATCAATTATCATTCAGGAAAAGCCAATGCAGTGGCGGATGCCTTAAGTAGAAAGACCCCGAGTAATTTGGCTACCTTGATCACTGGCCAAAAGAATATCTTGGAGGACTTGCAGAGGTTGAATATTGAGATTAGATGGCATAGCCATGAAGTGCAGTTGGCAAACCTTAGAGTTCAACCCACATTGATTGATAGAATTAAAGATGCTTAAGGAAGAGATCCTCAGTTGCAAAAACTTAAGGCTGAAATGGAAATAGGGCTACAGATGGAATTTTGTACGCATAAAGATGGAACCTTGAGATTTGGAGAGAGGTTGTGTGTGCCTAATGATTTAGAGCTCAAGAGAGAAATCCTGAGAGAAGCTCACAGTTCAGGATATACTGTACATCCAAGGAGCACTAAAATGTATAAAGACTTGAAGATGAACTTTTGGTGGAATAATATGAAGAGGGAAATTGCTCAGTATGTTGCTCAATGTTTGGTATGTCAACAAGTGAAAGTTGAACATCAGAGACCTGCAGGTAAGTTACAACCTCTTCCTATTCCCGAATGGAAGTGGGAACATATTACCATGGATTTTGTGACAGGGTTGCCTAGGACCCAAGGTGGTAACAATGCTATTTGGGTTATCGTTGATCGATTGACCAAATCCGCTCACTTTCTAGCTTTTAAGGTAGGGTCCTCCTTAGAGAAGTTTGCAAAATTGTATATCAAGGAGATTGTGAAGTTGCATGGTATTCCGATGATCATAGTGTCTGATAGAGATAGCAGATTTGTATATATGTTTTGGAGGAGTTTGCATACAGCTTTGGGCACTAGTTTGAATTTTAGCACTGTCTTTCATCCTCAAACTGATGGACAGTCAGAGAGAACTATTCAAACCTTGGAAGACATGTTGAGGGCTTGTGTTATTGATCTTGAAGGTTCTTGGGATGAGCATTTGGCCTTAGTGGAATTCTCTTATAATAACAGTTATCATGCGAGCATTCAGATGGCACCATATGAGGCTTTATATGGACGAAAGTGTAGATCACCTATTTGTTGGGATGATGTGGGTGAAAGGAAGTTGTTAGGGCCTGAGATTGTGCAACAAACAGTGGACAAGATCAATCTTATTAGAGAGTGACTTCGCATGGCACAGAGTAGACAGAAAAGTTATATTTGGTGTTTGGGGTTGGAGACCATGTATTCCTTAAGGTGTCTCCTATGAAATGAGTAATGAGGTTTGGTGTTCGTGGTAAACTGAGTCCTAGATTTGTTGGACCATTTGAGGTTTTAGATCGAATTGGAGAGGTAGCTTACAGACTTGCTCTACCATCTTCATTAGCTGGAGTTCATAATGTTTTTCATGTCTCAATGTTAAGGAAGTATATACCGGATCCTAGTCATGTGATTGATCATGCACCGTTGCAGTTTAAGGAGGATTTGACATATGAGGAACGCCCTATACGAATTGTTGATGGGAAGGAACAGGTTTTGAGGCGTCGAGTCATCCACTATGTTAAGGTTCAATGGAGCAATCACTCAGAAAGAGAAGCAACTTGGGAACTCGAGGATAAAATGAAACGAAAGTATCCACAACTTTTTGAGACTTCAGGTATGTCAAATTTCGAGGACGAAATTTCTTTTTAAGGAGGGAAGGATGTTAAACCCAAGTTTTGTATATTATTATTTTTGGATAGATTGGTAATTAAATTAATTTATATGGGTCACTTAGTAATATCAAGGAATTAATTATGAGATGTCATTATTATTTCTATAACATAGGTGGGTAATTTTGCAATTTTGGAAAAAGAAAAAAATATTAGGTTAAGTATGAGATGCCGTGGCTTTTAGTCTTGGAGAAGAAAACAAAAAAACAACACAAACAAATAAGGGGAGGCGTGATGTTGTGGAAAGGAAAGGCAACAAGGGTTTGAAAAAAAAATTAAAGAAAAGAAGCCAAAACTAAAAGGAAGAAGGAGGATTCATAAGAGTGGTGGTTTTGCTTTATTCATCACTTAGGTAAGATTTATTTTATTGTATTCCTATCTATGATTTTAGTGTTAATATATCAATAGATGATTTTATGGGCATATATGATTAAATAATTATATTGAAGTAGTCTATGTTGGGGTTCTCTATTTTGCTCAATTTTAGAGTGTATTTTGTATTCCGTTTGGGTGGTTCATATTTTGAGATTAATATGTGATAGGTTAGGTTTAATGGTGGTGTCTTTGTGGGATACAAGATTGATTACAAGCAATTACAAATTTTTATGTATACATAAACAACAATAGAATAATATGGGTTGAGAATTTCCGAAACCGTGATGGCTTTGTTTTGATGCTAAATTGTGGGAGTTCTTAATAGGCAATTGGGTTAATTTATTTTATTGTTGTTACAAGAAGAGATAGATGGCTGCACATAATAATTGTTTATGCGGTGTAATATTTTATTAGGTTTGTGAGATTGAGGTGGATCTTGGTAATTTGAGATTAGCTTGGGAAATATTATTTTAGCTATTTGAGGTAAGTAACCCTCTATCACTGTTGGTTCATTTTTATTCCTATCGAATTGTTTAAAATCATAAATATTTATTTATAGCCTTCGTGTTCTCTTAAAATAAAATATGGGTCAAGTATAAAACAACATCGAATATTATTATGAAAATTATTTGAATATTCGGTGAAACTATTCTGAAAATTATACTAAACGTTTATTCTGAAAATATCGAATGTTTTATTTAAAATTTGTGTATTGTGTGAATTTTGAACATCACTCTAGTCTGACTATGATTTGGACCCTAGCCAATGGGGGTTATTTATTGGCATAGAAACTAGTTTCTTTTGGGGCTTTACCACCGGCCTATGTGTGGTTCTGGGCCTTGTCACAGGCTAAGTGACCGTAGTCATTAAGACTTGGGTTTTGTGAATCAAATCATTGAACTATCTGAATATCGAACCATCGATTTGAACAACGAATTACTTTGAATTATCACATTGGCTTTTCATTTAAAATGTATTGTACATTGTTTATTTTTAGCTATGAAACCACCTTACAAATAATTATTCGTTTATTGAACTGTAAAAAAAATTATATTTATTGGTTATCGATTTATTTATTTATTTATTTATTTGTATACTTGATCCAGCTAGCAGTGATAGTTGGTTATTTACTGAGCTATCTAGCTTACCCTTATTTTTGTTTTCAGATTCTGAAGAGTAGAGCTGCGCGGGATTTTTACATGTGGGAGTGCCGAGAGTAGGACTATGATTTAAGTACTTGGATTATTGTTTTGTTAATGGATTTTATTAGTGAAATTAGTGGATAATTTCATATGATAAGAATAATCAGCTTTTATGGATTTTTGCATTATGATAATTAAGGATTTAATTGGAATATTTTACATTGTTGGTTATGTGTTGGACTCTTAGTCTTGCATGCTCACTTAAATGAGTGTGCGGCGTTGTCACGGAGCTTGGGGCGTGACAAGTGGACCAATCAAGAAAGATATATTTATATAATAAAATAATAATAATAAAAATAAATAAAATAATTAAATAAATTGAACCAAAAGAGCTAACCTCATATTTTTGGTATAGAGCAAGAAGAGAGAAGGAAAGAAAGAGAGAAAAGAGAGTGAGAAACAGAGAAGGAAAGAAAGGAAGAAAGGAAGAGGAGTTCGATACTTAGAGATCATCTTCAACAACAACTAAGGTCGGAAGACTAGAAACCCTCCTTCTACTTGGTAATGAAATATATGTGGTATATTATGTTTCAACAATGCTACATCCTACTAAAAGTGGTGCTCTAAAGCACCACTAATGAGTTGGCACCCACTTTTTAAAAAAAAAAAAAAAAAACAAGGCACAAAAGCATTGTGGCACTCACTGCCACATCATTAGTGGTAGCACTAATTAGTGCTCCCACTCATTTTCTGTTATGTTTTACAGGAGAAGTTTATGAAGAAATTAATTGATAGTCATTAGAAGGAAGAATGTGAAACATGCATGCCTATAAGCTTATGATCTTCTTTATGAATATTAATTTCCATCTAGTTTCCCTTCTCGCTGATGAAAGTAATCTGAAATATTTGTGTTTTATAATATGAGAGTAATAATAAGAAATGATTTTTGTAACCTTGCATGTGAATAATAGTGAATACAAAATTTATTTTTCATACAACAATGAACTTCTAGCAAAAGCAAAAAAAAATTCGGGTTGGAAACACTCAAATAAATTCATAGAAACACTTTTGTGAAATCTGAAGCTACTCGAGTTAAATTAGCATGTTCTCATGGTGTGTAAATTTTGGAAAATTATTTGACAATGTTTCGTGGCTAAAACACATTTTTAACTTCGTTGCTTTTTGGAGGTAGCAACTAAGCTAACTTTACCAAGCTACGGTTTATTCCATAGATTGAATTTTTAAGTAATTCAAATTAAAAATTTTAGATTTATGTGTTATCTTTCAAACGCCACTAGTTTCGCCAATTTTTATTAAGTTATGAAATGGTGAAGAATATGGAAATGTTGGGATGTTGATCCGAGGCGTGACCTTGATTTAGAAAATCTTGTACAGTAAGTGTCGCGAAACCTTCAGATGCCATGAGTTATATTCTAGCTTCTACACAGATTTGATGGTGATATAAGGGTGACAGTGAGGGTCTCACGCATGAAAAGCATTCCCAAAAGGCCGTTCCCTTGAGGTAGACCAATGATGTTATGACCTGAATACGTAATTCAGTGCATAGGCATCCTTGGTATTTACCAATATGTTCTAATATACCAAAGAGTCTGAATAAGCTGTATGACCATTGCTTAGGGGTTGGGTAAGGACGACGTTCCATGGGGAATTGTCTAGATAAACTTAGAAAGTAAATCTTAGGGATGATTGAAACTTGTAATGATATTACTTTATTTTAAGTTTTTAATGTATCATTATGATTGTTTCCGCTGTATTGATTGTATGTTTCATTTTAAAGCTATAACATTGATTTCTTGTTTTCTTCGTTGAGTGTCATCACTCATGACTTTCTCTGTATTGTCCTGAAATTTTATGCTAGATAACAAGGTTAATGGGTTAATGAGAAGTGCAAGATAAATGTATCAGAAGATACAAATATATAATCATGATTCACTTATGAATCAAAATTAGTGAACTCTTAAATTATCTATTATTTATCCGTATGTAACATTTATAACTTTTAAATTTGGAATATTAAGACAAACATAATATAATATTATTTAAGTATTAATCCATATAAATAGAATTAAATAATAATTTTTTAGAACCTTTTATTACTAAGTACCTAAATTATAATCAAAAAGTAATTAATTGAGACCAAAAGTTCGGACGTCACAACACCAGCAGTAATAATTGGCTCCAAGCTTCTGCTCCACCGATGCTTCAAATGATGACATGATTGTGGAAGATGAACCCGATAAAAGCCTTTCAATTAATTATAATGCAAAAAAAGATGAAGGTGGTTTGTATTGTCACACGACCATATAATAGAATTACGAGATTTCATTCAAAATTAATGACGCAATCGTGACAGAGGATCGCATTCATAATTTCAAACACACTTAGTTGAGCATATGTCACTACAAGAAAAGTGGGCTTATGAGACGGAACTTTTTGCGACGGCCCATTCGTCATCGCAAAAAGTCATTTTTTGTGACGGCACAACTTGCCGTCGCAAAAAATGTGACCTTTTAAGACGGCACAATTTGCCGTCGCAAAAAATATGACTTTTTGAGACGGCACAACTTGCTGTCGCAAAAAATGTGCCTTTTTGAGACGGCACAGCTTGCCGTTGCAAAAAAAATATGACTTTTTGAGACGGTACAACTTGCCGTAGCGAAAAATGTGCCTTTTTGAGACGGCACAACTTGCTGTCGCAAAAAAATGTGACTTTTTGATAAAAAAATAATAATAATAATTTTTTTTTCATTAAAATAAAAATAAAACAAATAAATTTTCAATCTATAACTAAAAAAAAATTCATTAACTACAAGAAAAAAATTTATTTTAACAAAAAATAAATTTTTTTGGCTTATTTTAACAAAAAAATAAATTTTTTTGGCGACGGCAACCCCCGTTGCAAAAAAAAAAAAGGTTAAACCACGTTTTGTTGTTTAAATTTCATTTGTGACCGAATTTTTTTTTTTCAATCCCGCTATGTTTCCCTCCCCCTTTTTTTTTCCATTACCGTTCTGTAACCCTCCCAACCCAAACAAAAAATCCCCAATCTCAAACCACCCCGCCCAAAACCAAAAATCCCTAATCTCTTCTTACCCCCCTCTCTGTCTCTTTTCACCCATTTTTCATCTTCCTCTCTCTCTTCTCTTTCTCTCTTTCACTCATCACTCTTCTCTGTCTGTCTGTCTGTCTGTCTGTATATCTGTCTCTCTTTCTCTCTGTGTGTCTCTCACTCATCTATCTCGTCTCTCATCTCTTTTCTCTCTCTGTCTCTTTTGTTCATCTCTCTTCTCTCTATCTCTCTCGTTCATTTCTCTTCTCTCTCTGTCTCTTTTTTTGTCTCTCATCACTCTCTATCTTTTTCTCTTTTTGTCTCTCTCTCTCTCTTCTCTTTCTCTCTCTAACTCATCACTCTTCTCTGTCTGTCTGTCTCTGTCTCTTTCTTTCTCTCTTTGTCTCTCCCTCATCTCTCTTCTCTCTATCTCTCTCATCTGTTTTCTCTCTCTGCCTCTCTCACTCATCTCTTTTCTCTTTATCTCTCTCTTGCTCATCTCTCTTCTCTCTATCTCTCTCATTCATTTCTCTTCTCTCTCTGTCTCTTTTTTTGTCTCTCATCACTCTCTATCTTTTTCTCTTTTTGTCTCTCTCTCGCTCTTCTCTTTCTCTCTCTAACTCATCACTCTTCTCTGTCTGTCTCTGTCTCTTTCTTTCTCTCTTTGTCTCTCCCTTATCTCTCTTCTCTCTATCTCTCTCATCTGTTTTCTCTCTCTGCCTCTCTCACTCATCTCTTTTCTCTTTATCTCTCTCTTGCTCATCTCTCTTCTCTCTATCTCTCTCATCTCTTTTCTCTCTATGTCTCTCTCGCTCATTTCTATATATCTCTCTCTCGCTCATTTTTCTTCTCTCTCTATGTCTTTCTCTCGTTCATTTCTTTTTGTTCTCTTTCTCTCTTTTTGTCTATCTCTCGCTCATCTCTTGTTTCCCTCTCTCTCTCTCTCTCTCACTCTCTTTCACTCATCACTCTTCTCTTTCTCTTTTTCTCTCTATCTGCCTGTCTATTTGTTTAGGCAAACTAGTTCCTTAAGAAACTTGAATTCGAGGTGTTGACGCCCCAAAATCACCAAACGGGGTTGGATTGGCACGAAACTTGGCAAACGCGACCGCCTAGGCACAAGAGACTTGTAGGAGAAGACGGGGCTCGAATCAGGTTCCCGGTTTGGGAGTTAGGGTCGGATTTCTGTCTAGCCAAAATTATTTACTTAACTATCTTTGTAATTATATAGTAGTTAATTTTTTTATGTTTTTTTTGTAATTAAAATAGTAACACATAATTATATTTTCATTAATTATTTTTATTTTTTATTTTCAGATATTTCCTGAGTAGCAGTTTGCTTCTTGTAGAATGCAGGCATGTGAAGATTGCAACTTTTGTTTTTGTAACCCACGGAAGAATCATGACGAAAACTTTTATTTTTGGTTTACGTTATTTAGATTTGTGAACATTATGTATGTATTATGCAACATTATGTGGTGGGATAATTTTGCTATTGTGTTGTTATGAATGGAAGAATACTTTAATTATGGATGAATTTTTATTTATATACAGGAATTTTTATATTATTATATAATTATCAGTTTTTTATAGTTATTTTCATTTAATACAGGTAATTTTCATATTTTTAATAATTTTATTGCAGTTTTTTTTTTTTTTTTTTTTTTTTTTTTTTGAGACGGCACCATACTGTCTCAAAAAAAATTAGAACCAGGTTTTTTGCGACGGTAGTATAGCCGTCACCAAAGATATTGGCATTGTTAATTAGTTGAAACAAAAGGCCTTTAGCGACGGTATTCTTCACCGTCGGAAATAATATTTTTAGAGACGGTATGTTTGCCGTCTCAAATAACCATTTAGCGACGGTATTTTTACCGTCGCAAATAACCATTTTAGCGACGGCATATTTGCGGTCTCAAATAAACATTTTAGCGACGGTATTTTTGCCATCGCAAATAACCATTTTAGCGATGGCACCACAATGTCGTCTCAAAAACTTCAAATTTCTACACATTAATGGCGACAGTATTTTGCCGTCGCTAAAAGGCATTTTTGCTGTCGCCTATATTTCGCGACGGCGTCACACCGTCGCTAAAGGCCTTTAGCAACCCCCTTTGTTGCAACCCCCCTCTTACCGTCGTTAAAAGCCAGTTGTCGTCGCAAAAAAGCAAATTTTTTGTATTTTCAGGGGACAATCGTAATATCAAATATTTATGTATTGTCATATTTTTTAAAATGTATTGTGCTCTAATTTTATTTTTTCACCAAATAAAATTAAGTGTTTAAGTAGCAAATGAATAAAATTTTGAATTTTGTTTAAAAAAATATTTTATAATTATAATATTTTTTTTAGAAATAAAACACTATTTAAATGGGATTAAACATCTTTCAAGAAGAAATTCATTTAATTAGTAAAATAAAAAAGTGTAGAAATTATCAGTATAAAAAATAATAGAATAATAAATTTGGCATACCAAGTGGAGAGTTGTCACCCAAGCCTTCAAAAAAATTTAGCATATCAAAATTTTTAAAAAACAAAAAAAAAATTGAGTGGAGATGCTCTAAATTTCTTATCTTATTTCAATAAATAATAAATCAAATGAAATTTGTTATTTTTCATGATTCTTAATAAATAATAAATCAAATGAAATTTGTTATTTTTCATGATTCTTGTTTGAGTATTGAAGTAAAGATCTTGCAAACAAACAAGTGTCCTTATAAA